GAACTTGTGCTTGATAGAGCTACAGCTACCTGAGAATATAATACTGACAAGTATCCCCAAGTGAATGGCTGTATGAATGAATACTTGCTTTGAGATAGAACAACTGAGTCCTTAAATTATCTTGGAACTGAAAGTTAATAAAAACTCGTTAAACATTTAGCCGATTAAAAAAAAAACTAATTTGTTGAGAAATTCTTAGTGTGAACTGCGCGAATGTCTGGTCATAGATAAAAGTTAGAGAATGGATCGATCATTGGGGGCATGTAGACAAAAACGGTGGGCGGGCTTGCGAACTGTTGGGGAAATACAAGTAAGGTAGACGACTAAATTAAGTAGACAAGCAAGCGCAGGAAGGTGTCTCACCTGATGTCATCCAGATCTTCTTTGAGACCCGGCTGCCCTTCACCGTTCAGTGACTTGATATCCGCTGCAGGTTTAGGGTTTTCTTCTGGAGATCTTCGACTCCTGGGTCCCTTCGAGTCGGAAAAATGGGCCGCAAGATTATTCGGATTAAGCGAAAGACCTGGCTTTGCAACTGAGGTCAGTGAGACAGCTGCTGCCTGGGAAACACCGTCTGGCTTAGAGTTATCAACTGGAGCTTTTGAAGGCGACGGATTTCCCGAACTAGCATCGTCTGACGGCCGATTATTCAGTGACCTAGACGCTGCTGAACTTGCAAGGGCGACTTCTCTAGCCTCAGCTTGTTTTTTGCGAATTTCCGCCAGGCGTAATTCTAAGGCACTAACATCGGGTTTCGACCTAACATATAAACGTTGAAGGCATAAAGCGATTTCATGCACAGATTCTTCATCAACATTAAACATTTCCCACCATGGAGGATAACGTGGAAGAGGAATTCCCAGTTTCCTGGCGGCCAAGAAGATGCACGCACAGGCGACAGCCTCCGGGAAATAACGGACGAAGACATCCGTTCGCAGGACATCATTCATATAGTTCCTAAAATGAAAAAGAGATGAACTCATTCAGGATACAGCAATCCGCGGAGCAAACTACGGCATAATGATGACAGTTCGTTTATAAAACAATGTCTAGAATCAGAAGTGCTGCCAGAAAGCAGGGTGGTTTGGGCTTCGGAATTTAAGAGATATTTGCTTAACACTGCGAAGAAAACTGGCAGTCAAGTTACATTAGGCAGACTTCTAAACTGTCTATAGTATCCGAATCCACAAATCTCAGAAAGCTACATGGCGTGGGTAAAGGAGACAAATCGAAGTCAAAGGCTGGCTGACAAAGTGGAGTCTGCAGATAATTAGATCTATATACTTAGTGGAATTACTTCTTTCGGCAGTCAACGTTGGTGATTATCTACGAATGACCAGGGGACAGTGAAAAACAAATTTATTTTTTGAATCAAAGTCGTCCTGAAATCACGAAACTTAAGAACATACTTTGGAAGAGCCATATTTTGCGTGCACACTTTAACATCTACAAATAAGTTAGAAATCCTACGCGTCGAGCAAGGCTGACTTTCAAGTCAGAAGTTTTTTCTCTGCAGACGACTTCGCACTCTGTCATTAGAGAACAAACGCAAATCAACTATAATCAAACAATAGAGGACAACTGAGTGAGGATGGCAGACAAATGACTTGCTAGAGCGTGTAATGGTTACTCACCAAGAAATCTGGGCTAATTCCGACTTTTCAAGACCAAGTGTTTGGAGATAACATATGACAAGCTAAAACACCATAAAAAGGAACCAGGACAAACCTTGTGCGGATGTTTACCGTGGACACAAAATCCTAGTTCCTTCAATATGCGACGTTCAGCCTTAATAACTTGATTTTTGAGATTTATGTAGCTTTGATCTAGAAGAACAGGAGTGAAGGGTCTAGCCATTGTCAAGTAAGTTAAAGAACGAACCGGCCTTCACGAGCCTGACGTATGTGATGAAACACGTTAATCACATCGCGAATCCGCCTAGGGCACTCCTCAATCTTGGCAGCCAAAAATATAGAAGCCATCGAATAGTGCTAAAGACAGCATAAGACAAAGCCAAAATTACCTCGTAGAAGTGCCTTGCAAATGACTTCGAGTAGAAAAACCTTTGATACAGTACTTGTGCAGTGGCCATCGCCATTTGGGGCAATTTTAGTAAATAGCCCGAATCCTGTATTAGTTCACAGCCAAGGAACCGCAAGTCTCCCTCCGTTTCAGCATCGATTCCATCTGAGGCTGATGGAGTTGGAGAAAGCTTCTCCTCGGGAATAATGTAGTTATCAATAGAAAGACGGACGCCAGCATATTCCCAATTCGACGCAGCCATTTTGACGGAAAATATCGATTTAGCCGCTGAAAGCTGTGCTGGTGCATAAAAACGCGGTATCTCATATGCATCGGAACAAGAGTAGGTTAGGTATTAGTTCTGTTTACTTTGTAGCATAAATTTACTTGTGTACCTGAAAATGTCCAGGTGCAGCCCATAAAAATGCGCACTTAAAGGGAAATATGTGATAGAAACGAACTACTGTAGTGTAAGAAATTAAATGATCCTTCGTAATTCAAGAACGCCAATTGTAGAAAATGTAAGTTGCTTCGTTCACTTATTGGCAAGTCAGCATTTAGTGATTTAACATTCTCGAAGTCGAACCAGAAGCAGGGTAGCTAATGGTTATGAATTGCCTTAACCTTATTTTAACCCAAGAGGAAGAAACTCTGATGGCCCAGCGAGATCGGCGCGCATTAGGATCAATCGAATAAATTACCTTATACTTCGCGA